TGCCCCTTTCTCTTCTCTCAGCTCATCCTCGGAGCTTTTTTGTTTACTACCAGTTTGGCCAGTAGCAATTTTTGTTACCGGTTCAGATGAACCGGGCCAAACCGGTAGCATTTCACCACTGCTCCCAGCTCTTCACTTTTAACAGTACTAATTAATAAATTGATATTTAGTATTCGCACTCTTGCTACAGCTTTATAAAGCCCTACTAAAGCCACACCTGGAATGCTGCGTCCATGTTTGGTCACCAAGTCACAAAAATGATGTTGAGACGTTGGAAAAAGTGCAAAGAAGAGCAACTGAGAGGATCAAAGGCCTGGATAATAAAACATATGAAGAATGGTTGCAGGATTTGGGTTTGGCTAGTCTAGAGAAAAGAAGGAGTACAGGGGACATGATAGCAACATTCCTGTATTTGAGGGGCTGCCATAAAGAGGAGGGGGTCAACCCTGTTCTCCAAAGCCCCAGAGTACAGGACAAGAAGCAACGGATGGAAACCAACCAAGGAGAGAAACAACCTAGAATTAAGGAGAAACTTCCTAACAGGGAGGACAATTCACCAGTGGAACAGCTTTCCACCAGAAGTTGTGGGATGTTCATCACTGGAGGTTTTTAAGAAGAGACTGGACAGCCCCTTGTCTGGGATGGTGTAGGATCTCCTGCTTGAGTAGAGGGCTGGACTACAAGATCTCCCAGGTCCCTTCCAGCTCTATTATGATTGATTGATTATAAAAATCTTTGTCTTTCCGATCTGGATCTTCTTCTTGGTAAAGCTGTAACCCAACAATTGTTGGCTTTTCTTCTAAGGGCTGTCTCTTTTTCTGTGAGCAGAATTCTGTGAGGGCAACGGTCCCACTGAACATGTGTAAAAGCCCATATCAGGGATGGCAACGTGGCAACATATCATAGGCAAATCATTTCTCCACCCCTATTGCATCTGCCACTTGGCCAACAGTCATTGCTGGGTGATTTTGCTCCTTGTTTGGCAGGTGTGAGGAATATTCTGGGTTTTTGGTGAATAAAGTTGAGACATCCAGAAGGTGACAGGCAGAATAACAGAATTGGGAGGGATCTTGTAGGTCTTCTATTTCAACCCCCTGCTCAAACAGGAGACCCTACACCATTTCTGACAAATGGCAGTCCTGTCTCTTCTTGAAAGTCTCAAGTGATGGTGCTCCCACAACTTCCGAGGGCAACTTTTGTTCCATGGGTTGATTGTTCTCCCTGTCAGAAAGTTTCTCCTTATTTTCAGGTTGAATCTGTGCTTCTTCAGTTGCCATCCTTATTCCTTGTCTGGCCTTCGGGTGCCTTGGAGAATAGCTTGACTGCTTCCTCTCTATGGCAGCCCCTCAAATATTGGAAGATGCTCTCCTGTCTCCCCTGGTCCTTCTCTTCTCCAGACTAGCCAAGCCCAGTTCCTGCAACCGTCCATCGTATGTTTTAGTCTCCAGTCCCTTCATCCTCCTGGTTGCTCTTCTCTGCACTCTTTCTAAGGTCTCAACATCTTGTGTATAGCATGGCACCTGATGAGTAATGGTAGTGGGGAAGGACTTGAAGATCTTGGGGGCAGAATGAAAAGAGAGATGAGACAAAAATCCCTATGTTGCCACAACCAAGTTACGTTCAACCCTCCTACAGTGTAATTGGCTCTTATTTAATTCTAACCAGGTATTGATTGTTAGTTGAGAAGATTCCTGTCACATGCATTTAGGTATAAATCAGCTTAATTGAACCTTCAAATGTGGACCTGGTCTTTTGCACCCAACAGGTGGCCACTTTAAGAGTTACGACAGTTACACCAGACTTGAAGGAGGTGATGATTAGACTGTCTACTGTCTACTATTGACCTCACCCCTTTCCTAAGAGGTCTGTAGGGGGCGTGCATAAGCGCACCAACGTGCCTACCGTCCCTGTCCTATTGTTTCTCTTATTCTTTTATTTTTCTTATATGTACCCATTTCATGTATTCACAACTATGTATACACTTATACTTATTATCTTGTAAACAATTGGCAAATCAAATAAATAAATAAATAAATGATGGTAGTGGGTCACGAGTTCTTTCCTTTTCAAGAAGGTTCTTGAGAAGGTCATTGGGTTACAAGGGGCCCTGGAAGAAATAGATTATTTAGACCCCTTTCAATTGGAGTTTCAGGCTGGGACACTGTATGGAGACAATGCTGATCATATTTATTTATTTATTTATTTTAAGATATGTTTTATTTTTATTCATAAACATTTTGAATACAGTGTATTGTCAGAGTATGTCATTTACATAAAATCAAAAAGAATACAAACTGAGATATTAGCATATATATTGATAATAATAATAGTAGTGTCACAAAGTCATTTTAACTATGTTTCTCTTTATATTACCTTATTTATAGTTCTATAAATTATATCAACCTGTTTATAATTATAAACCCTCTTATATATTTAATTCATACATAACAATAATCTTTCTTCGCTTTCTACCTCTTATCTCTAACCACTCATAAAACCTATTTCTTGTTAAGTAATATTTTGTATCTTCTTTATCCTTTATTTTTAATGTCAACCTATCCATCTCTGTACAGTCTAGTATTTTCCGAATTATGTCCTCATCTTATGGAGTGTTCACATTTTCCCAAAATTGTGCAAATATGATCCTTGCAGCTGTCAATACATACAAAACTAAATATACAGTCCCTTTATCATAAGCCTCGGGTATTATATCCAATAAAAATATTTCTGGCTGCTTCAAATCTATATGTTGCTTAATCATCTTTTCCAAAAAAGTATGTATTTTTGTCCAATATTTTCTTGCTTTCATGCAAGTCCACCACATATGATAATAAGTACCTGGGGTTTGATTACACTTCCAACATTTGGTGGACATATTGCTAAACATTTTTGCTAATCTTGCCAATGGCAAATGCCACCTATAAAACATTTTATAGAGATTTTCCTGATATGCAGTAGCCATTGTCAGTTTATGATCCCATTCGTAGATGACCTGTGATGGGGTTGGGATGGGGACGGCGAAGCCATCCTGGTTCTTCTTGATCTCTTGATGGTTTTCAATGATACCTATCATCAAATTGATCTGGATGGGGGAGTGGAAGGAACAGGATTTGGTGCTCATCCTCCTTTCTCCATGGCTGGTTCCAGTCAGTATTGATAGGGGGAGAGAGGTCAACCTTGAAATCTTTGGGATGCCTCAGGGTTTGAAGCTCTCACACTTTCCATTTGTCACCTGCATGTGGCTCCTGGGTCAGGTCATCTATAGGTTCAGGATCAGATATCATCAGTATGCCGAGGGACACTCAGCTATACATCATGACCCTTGACCAGTCAAGCAATGCGGTCAACTCTTGTCCCAATGCCTGGAGGTAGAGAAGGTTTCAATGAGATGGAACCAGTTCAAACCCAACCCTAGCAAGACTGAGTGGGTCCCTTCCATATTTCACCCTGAAAAGACTTCCATATTCCCTTTGGGACTGGTGCATAATCAGAATAACAGAATAACAGGAAGGGGCCTTGGAGGTCTTCTAGTCCAACCACCTGCTCAATCAGGAGACCCTATACCATTCAAGACAAAAGATTGTCCAATCTCTTCTTAAAAACCTCCGGTGATGAAGCCCCCACAACTTCTGGAGGCAAGTTGTTCCATTGGTTGATTGTTCTCACTGTTGGGAAGTTTCTGCTTAGTTCTAGGTTGCTTCTCTCCTTGATTGGTTTCCATCCGTTGCTTCTTGTCCTGCCCTCTTGTGCTTTGGAAAACAGGTTGACCCCGCCTCTTTGTGGCAGCCACGCAAACCAGGAGGGTTTTCACAGAGATTCATCTTGTAAGCTGTTGCATCCTTCCCTGGTCTAGAGGTCAGGGTGCATTGTAACAATCATTCAAGCCTAGTCAACTCATGGATGGACTACTTCAAAGAGCTTCTACATGGAGCTGTTCTTGGAGACCATTCTGAATATGCGACTGGTTAGAATGTGGTAGCCCAAGCAGTGATATACAGACCATGCCACACCTACATAAATATTTCATGTTACACTCACTACTATGGACTTCTGGATGCCACTTGTCACCTTTTGAGCCCTACATGGCAGAGGGCCAAACTATTTAAGGCACGTTCTGTCTTTACTTTCTGCTCATCTTGTGGTCATCGATCGAGTTGACTCTCTCCGGCTCCCAGTGATAAAGCAGTGCCATCTAGCACACCTCACGAAAGGTGCATTCTCCATGTAGTTGCACCTTCCCTCTAGCATAGCATCCCCTAAGACTCTCACTCCACCTGGCCAGCATCGGAAAGACCATTAAAAACAGCCCTCTTCTCAGATCTTGGTGAAGTCTGGTAGTGGGTATCTGTTTCGGTCTCTGCTAAAGAAGGTAAGGAGATTTCGGTGGCTTTTCCCTCTGGTTGATGCCTTCAGTTGGGTTTAAACATGGATTGTACAATTTTTGCATATGTCAGATATTCGTATATGTCAAGGAAGACCATCCCACCCCTGACAGGGAAAGCCAGTAGAATATAAACTGAGAGCAAACCCCACTCTTACTAGTTTGGGTAATGAAACATCTACAAAAAACCCACCAAACTCAGAGAGCACCAAGGACACCAGAGTCTTCCTCCTCCTCCTCCTCCTCCTCCTCCTCCTCCTCCTCCTCCTCCTCCTCCTCCTCCTCCTCCTCCTCCACAAATCTCACACCCTTCTAGCAGTGATGATGTTCCCTAGTTGGGTCATGAAACGCCTGCAAGCTTGGAGAGCACCAAGGACCCCTCATTTCAACCCTGAGCTACAAATATTCCCCTTTATGTGTCAAGTTGCGCAGAAGCATTTGGAGTCCAAGTGACTTCAACATTTCAATCAATAAAGACATAGAATCGACCTTAACCTCTCCTTGGTGATGGGTGCTCAACCATCTTGTGAAAGAGAAAAGAATTCAAATTGTCTCTGCATGAAGTCATCCTGCTTCCTGGATCTGGAGTTGTGAAATTCCCAGCGGGGAGAATAAATAGAGCCAGCAGCCCGAGTGTGGGGCAGACGGCTTCATCATGTCTTCTGGAGGTCTTCTTCTCCTGCTGGGACTCCTCACCCTCTGGGCAGAGCTGACCCCCGTCTCCGGCCAGGACCGTCCAAGTGAGTTTTCTGAATGATCTTGAAACCCTTGACAGGGAGGGGCTGAAGTGATCAGGGTAGAGAAACCAAAGACCCCAGTCTAGAACCTCTGGCTTGGTGGGGCTTCTCCTGGGGAGGTTCTTGAGATGGTGGTTGGGTGTCAGCTGAATAGAAATGGGAGGATGCCCCAAGAAAGAGAGATGCAGTTTTAGGGGAAGGCTGACCTATCTTGACTCAACGCAGCAGAAGAATCGGGATAATGAAAGGAGAATATTTGTAGCTCAGGACTGAAATGAGGGGTCTTTGATGCTCTCTGAGCTTGGTTGCTTTCTTGCAGATGTTTCATGACCCAAACTAGGTAACATCATCAGTGCTCATGAAGATGTTCCCTAGTTTGGATAATGAAACTTCAAAGCTTCAAAAAAACTGCCAAGCGCAGAAATTACCAAAGTCTCCTCAGTATCAGGATTTTAAGCAATAGGAACTGTCATTCAGACATCCTGTCCAACTCCCAGAGCAGGAAACCAAATTAAAACATCTTAGATGGCTCTGGACTGTTTGCAGACTGAGCATGCTAAGAGGGCACCAGGTTGGGGAAGTGAGTTAAAGACTTTTGTGCTAGCCAATCCAATAACATCCCCCCTCCCCTTTCCATTTGCCATAGAGTTTTGTTACCTTCCTGCGGAAACCGGACCATGTAAAGCCAAAATGCCTCGCTTCTACTACAACCTGACTTCAAATCAATGTGAAAATTTTACTTACGGTGGATGCCAGGGGAATGACAATAATTTTAAGACTCTGGATCAATGTCGCTACACCTGTGTTGGTAAGTAGAGGAGGAGTTGCGGACGGAGAATGTTTGTGGCTCAGGGTTGAACTGTGGGGGTCCTTGGTGCTTTCTAACCTTGGTGGTTTCACAGAATCACAGAGTTGGAAGTGATCTTGGAGGTCTTCCAATCCAACCCCTGCTGTCTCACAAACGTTTCATGACCCAACTAGATAACATCTTCAGGGCTAGGAGGGCACAGGATTTGCTGCTTATTTATGTCTAAAAGAGCCCTGGTGGTGCAGTGGTTAGAATGCCATATTGCAGCCTGGAATTCAATGCTGATGGGGCTCAAGGGTGAGTTCTATCCTTCCAATGTTGGTAAAATGAGGGCCCAGGTTGTTGGGGGAAAGATGCAATACATTGTAAACTGCCCAGAGAGTGCTGTAAAGCAGGAGTCGCCAACCTTTTGGACCTCAGGGATCACCAAACTCATCATTTTAAATCCTGCAGACCAGAGACCCTGGGAAAATCCCCCCAAAGTCTGCAGGAAAATCCCCCATCTGGTTTTCCTACCGATCGATCAGTCTTTATTTGGGATCACAGGATACTGTCTCCAGCTCCATTCTCAGGGGGAGAGAGAGAGAGAGAGAGAGACTGACTTTTGCTTACTGCAAGGAAAGCAGCATGTGCAGCAGAAGTCTTTCTTTCTCTACCCTGAACTCCGCCAGAAATGAGTCTTGGTGAGACTTGTCACACCGGTGCAGCCTCTTGGAGCAGGAGGCCTTGCAGGGTCCCAAAGACTCATTGCTGGCGGAGTTTGGGGGAGAGAAAGAAAGACTTTGGCTGCTTTCCTTGCATGCAGCCAAAAGCAGCAGAAGAAAGAAGCGGACAGAAGCAGCCCGGGGGCCAGGCCAGGCAAGTTTCCCCCCTCCGCCCTTTCCCCCCTCCCCTCACTACCTCATGTTGTTTGCAATGCAAGTGACACAAGCCTTGTGTTCCCGCAGGCGATGTGGGCGGCGCAGCCTTGTGTTCCTGCGTAGGCTGGGATTAATTGCTTTGGGGGTGACATTTCCCTGTGGACCACCAAAATTTTCTCGCAGACCACCAGTGGTGCCTGGCCCACTGGTTGGCAACCACTATTGTAAAGCATTATGTGGCAGTATATAAGTCTTCAATATCTTCATAAATGACTTAGGTGAGGAAATAGAAGGGGAACTTACCAAATTTGTGGATGATACTAAACTGGCAGGAATAGCTAACACCCAAGAAGATCGGCTCAAGATGGATCTTGACAGACTAGAACACTGGACCATATCTAACAAAATAAAATTCAATGTAGAGAAAAGTGAAGTCCTACACTTGGGCAAGAAAAACCCAAAGGACACATATAGACTGTGTGAAACCAGGCTCAATAGCAGGAACTGGGAGATGGATCTTGGAGTCTTAGTGGACAACCAGCTGAATATTAGCCAGCAGTGGGCAGCAGTAGCCAAAAAAGCTAATGCAATCCTAAATTGTATTAACAGAGGGATACAATCAAGATCAAGGGAGGTACTAATACCACTCTATAAAGCCTTAGTAAGGCCACACCTAGAGTACTGCATCCAGTTTTGATCACCACACTATAAAAAAGATGTTGTGACTCTAGAAAAAGTGCAGAGAAGAGCAACCAGGATGATTAGGGGACTGGAGGCTAAAACATACGATGAATGGTTGCAGGAACTGGGCCTGGCTAGTCTAGTGAAGAGGAGGACCAGGGGAGGCAGGATAGCATCCTCCAGTATTTGAGGGGCTGCCCCAGAGAGGAGGAGGGGGTCAAGCTATTCTCCAAGGCACCCAAAGGCCAGACAAGGAACAATGGATGGAAAGTGAACAAGGAGAGATTCAACCTGGAAACAAGGAGAAACTTTCTGACAGGGAGAACAATCAACCGATGGAATAGAAGTTGCCTTCAGAAGTTGTGGGAGCTTCATCATTGGAGGCTTTCAAGAAGAGGCTGGACTGCCATCTGTCAGACATGGTGTAGAGTCTCCTGATTGGGTGGGGTGGGGGGTTGGACTAGATGACCTACAAAGTCCCTTCCAACGCTGTTATACTGTTATTGCTAAGTGCTATTGCTATTGCTGTATCTAGCAGTTTCCTTCATCAATATTGATGTGGTGTGTTTTCTCCTTGGTAGTTTCTTGAATTGGATATTGTTTTCTGCTTGTTCTCTCTGCTTATTTGGGTGTGGTATGACTTATCCCCTCTGCCATGTGCTGCCCCAGAATCACCAAGGACCCAACTCTGGATTAGGCCAGATGTGTGTGTTAGGGATACACCCTAGCAGAATGTGCAACGGCAGTCAGGCAGGCAGGCAAATATGTGAGATAAACGTTTTTGTAGATTACACTCAGTAAAACAGATACACTGTGCTAGTTAAATAGTTTATTCCAGTAAGAGTTTTAGCATAGTCAAACAGTCCATATATCATTCACTAGTTCAGTCCGTCAGGGGATTATTCATTAGCAAAGTCCAGTGTCGAAAAAGAGGTCAGTAAACTTACAAATTATCAGTCCAGCAATAAATCTCTTCGCAGTAGAGATAAGAAGAAATCAAACCTCCTTTCTTCCTTTGCAGTTGAATAAACTCAGTAGCAGGGAAAACACGCAGTTAGCGAACCATCAATCCATCAATGCAATAAGCCAGCAAACAGTAAGCTAGCAAGGTTCTCTTGCTCCCTCTTATGGTGGTTTTACAACCGCACCCAAAATCACATGCTTTGCAGTTAAAGTGACACACACTTAAACTCACTATCATAGTTTATATATGTTAAGCCTGGATTCCCCAACGGCTGTTAAGAAAAACAAACTAAACAGAACGTGCAGCGAAGTCAGATAGGCAGACAGGTAAATGTGTGAGATAAGTTTTCTAGTTAACACGCAGTAAAATACAGATACGCTTGTGCTATCAAAAATATAGTTTATTCCATTTAAGAATTATAGCATAGTCAAAATAAACGGTATCAATTTCAGTCAAGTCTTGTCGGGGATACTCTATTTGCAAAGTCCGTGTTGAATAGCCAATGTCAGTTCACTTACAATAAATCACTCCAATCTTTATCTTCTCTCCCCGTTTCAGCAAGAACGCAGTCATCAATCCATCCAGTAATTAGGGATCATTAAGCCAGAGAGAGCGAGCTGCATTTGCCTCGCTTCTTATATTGTGCTTTTACAACCACACCCTTAATTACATTCTTGCAGTTAAAGTTACACACACTTTAACTAACAAACCATGATACCATATTTATTATTTTTACCCAAACCAGTTATGGTAAACAATGTTATCCCTAACATTATATATTATTTTATCCAAAAAAAGTTAGGTAACCTATGTTATTCCTAACAGTGTGTGTTGTCTCCTTCAGCTCATAACCTCAACCTCACTCCCTGAAGCTCCTCTGAATTGATCCTAAGAACCTCAGGGCAACCTCCAGGAAACCCATGGAAAGGGGGGTTCCCCTAGATGTCCAGAGGGAAAGCACTACCTCTCCCCCTCTGTTTTTGGGGAGAAGGGGACTGCAGGAGTGCGTGCAGAGCCAGCAGGGGAAGGCTCTACAGACCTCATTCCTTGGAATCCCTTCCTGATGGAGAAGGTAGGCGCACCTACCACAAAGAGCACTGCCTTCCTACTGGGTAGAAACGGGGGGTGCCCCTTCCCGTTCCCAACTCAAGAGAGAGGAGCCCAGTTATAAAGCCCCTGAGAAGTTGAGCCCAGAAGGAAATGGCTGTGCATTGCAAGGAAGGAAGTGAGGAGGTTCCAGCTGGCGCAACTCATCCTGCTCACGCGGAGAGGCTTCGGCTGATGGAATTTTCCTTGCTCTGGGACTCCAATTCCAGAAGAATCTCTTGGTGTGTAAGGTATATATGTGAAAGACTTTGGAAAACTAGGTGAAGAGATGCTGTCAGAGAAGAGACTGCCTAGCCTGAAGCTGCACAAGGGGTGAATAAAGAGGCTCAGACAAGACCCTCCCTACTAGCTCAGCCTGTATAGGGGACAGTGGGAAATTTGTCCATTCAAACCTGCAAGATTCTGTCAAGGTGGCTTTACAATAATTATCTCATCTGCTTGTGTTTCTTGTCTGGTTGACCTGGTAAGTCTGACACTCAACCTCATGATCTTCTATTTTGCAGAGAAGCGTGGGGTGTGTCCCGAGAAACCTTCAGATATAGTCACTTTTTGTTTCACGGACTGTGAAAATGACTGGAAATGCCCTAAGAATCAGAAGTGTTGCGAGATTGGTTGCATGATTACCTGCAGGGATCCTGCCTAAGGTAACACCTCTAGGTTGACATTGGTTTTAGTTTGCTTAGACCCGCCCCGCTAGGCTTTCGGTCTTTCTGACAAAGGTATAATTGAAGTGGAAGAGAAAAGAGGAGTGATCTTTAAGCATGAAGCATGCACACCAACTTTGGTGTGATGTGGTGTGGTGAGACTCTTCATCCAGATAGATAGCTATGTCCACTCTGTGGAAGCTCCACTGGTCCTCCACATCCCCCTCCCACATCCCCCTCCACATCCCCCTCCCACAGTCTCTTGACTTCTCCACCTCCTGAACCATCATCGGGAGAACGGTCGTGCCCAGTTCAACGGTTGCTGCCGGAGAAGAGACGGTTCTCCTGCCAGCCTGGTCAGGAAGCCAGAAGGCTCCAGGCAACAAGGACTTCCAGGAGAAGGAGAGGCCGGGACAGAATTCCTTTGCCCACCTTGATCCAGCTCATCTTCTGGGCAGACCACAACTGGTCCATGCTCAGGTGACAGGAAGGTCCATAGCTTCATCTGGGGAGCCAGAGATAAGCTCACATTTCTGACTCTGAGAAATGCTCCCTGCCTGAGTGAACGTGCCCTTGTCTGTGGTCTCAGCAGTGGCCTTGTGATCTTCTAGAAGGTGAGGATTGGAAAAAGGCACCGGAGGTCATCTAGTCCATCCTCCTTCAAGTGCAGAAATCCCCAGAGCATCCTGGAGAGATTCTATCCCACCTTTGCTTGAAGCCCCATAACTCTAAGGGGGAGGCTGCTGCCCCATCGCTCCCCTTCTCTCCCCATCAGCCCATTCCTGCTGATTTCACCTTTGGGTCTCCACGGTTGTAAGATGGGGCAGGGGGAAGCATTTGAGGCAATTCCGGGCAGAAACCTCATACCCGAACATTTGTTTTTACAGCATGACCAATGAGGAGACCCACCTGGATTGGATCTAGTGTTCCAACTTAACCCAAAGACCCTTCTTCTGCCCTGGACCCACCCTGGAGACCCTCCCTCCAGATTCCACCCTGGATTCAGTCCTTCTGTTCTTCAATAAAGCTTTGGGCTCCAGCTTCCCTCTCGGTCTCGGTCTCTTCCACAATGCGTCTGTAGAGATTCTCGGTCATTCAGGTCATAGTTGTCCCAAAGGTGCTTTTTCTCATCCATGATGAGAAGCGAAACGTCTTCCAAGAAAAAAACAAGAAAGTCCAGTTGCTTCCTGAAAAAGCATCCTGGGGGCTTCCATAATGTGGTTTTCCAGAGGCAATGAGCCAGCTGTGCGGCTGCGGCTGCCAAATCAGCCGATGCAATCCTGGCCTGCATCAATAAAGAGATAGCACTGAGATTGCGAGAAGAGAGAACACTGCTTTATACCACAGTACTGAGGCCACACTTGGAATAATCCAGTTTTGCTCACCACCCTATAAAAAAGAGGTTGAGACTCTGGAAAGAGTGCAGAGAAGAGCAACCAGGATGATGAGGGGACTGGAGGCTGAAACACACGATGAACGGTTGCAGGAACTGGGCCTGGCTAGTCTGGTGAAGAGAAGGACCAGGGGAGACATGGTAGCAGGACAGGCAATGGGTGGAAGCTTGTTAAAGAGAGATACAGCCTAGAAGTTAACCAGTGGAACAGCTTGCCAGCTGGAGTTGTGGCTGCTCCATCACTTTCAAAAATAAATCTTTTGACTGGCTATAACAGTGTTCCAATATCTCAGGGGCTGCCTCAAAGAAGAGGGAGTCAAGCTATTCTCCAAAGCCCCTGGAGGCAGAACAAGAAGCAATGGGTAGAAACTAATCAAGGAGAGAAGCAACCTAGAACTAAGGAGGAATTTCCTGACTGTGAGGACAATTAACCAGTGGAACTACTTGCCTCCAGAAGTTGTAAATGCTCCAAAACGAGGAGTTTTTAAGAAGAGGTGAGATAACCATTTGCCTGAAATGATATAGGATTTCCTGCTTAAGCAGGGGGTTGGACTAGAAGACCTCCAAGGTCCCTTCCAACTCTATTATTCTATTATGGAGCAGGGAGTCGGACTAGAAGACCTCACGTGTCCCTTCCAGCCTTATGATTCTATGCTCCATGTTCGCCTCTCAAATCCAGAGGGTTGGGTGGGGTGGCTCAGAAATCCCTGCCCTTTGGCCTGAAACTCAGTCCCCATAAAGGGCTTACTCTAGAGTAAGTCGGGGTAGATACTGAGACTCCTGCAACGGCTACAGAGATATGCTCTGCCTGGAGACAGTGAGACAACTCAGGTGGTAAGGTGTTTATTTAATTTTTTTGCCTTTCTTTAATTAAGCAGAACAGGAAAAAAAGCAGCAGCAGCAACAACAGAATCAATAGAAGAGAATATGTGCGGTTGGGGGTTGAATTGTGGGGTTCTTGGTGGTCTCTGAGCTTAGTGGTTTTCTTACAGATGTTTCATTTCACAACTAGGTAACACCATCCATGCTAGAAGGGAGTGGGGCTGGCTCTCAATTAAGGTTGCTGAAGTGTGTTTGTGAGCAGCTGTGGTGTTCTTATCCAAGCACAAACCACATTGTACCAATTCTGAACATCAGAAACAGGAATCAGATCATCTACGCCGCATCTTCGTTATCTAACCGTGATGACATGAGTTAGATGATCTCATGATGTGACGATATGAGTTTGACACCCCTGATCTAACCACTCAACCCCATGTAGCACATTGAAAACAAGTTGTGAAAGGGATAACACTGCCAAGCATCAAAAACATCTGAGAAACCACCCACACACTCATACAACCACGTGGCATCACAGTAGCAGACAAGCCAACTAATGCCATCCTATGCAAACCAAAAGACCCAGTGTTGTGGCCCACCAGTAGGCAGCAGAGCTGGCGGCAGACTCAGACAGTGAGGAGGTTGAGGAGGAGCATGGGCCAGTCCTGGAGTCTGGGGAAGGCTCTGGCGAGGGCTCTGCATCGGAGGCAGAGATGGGGCCAGGGCCGTCCGATAATTACCAGCTGCCTTCGGAGTCGGAAATCAGTGGGGAAGAAGAACAGCTGGAGCCTGTTCCCAGTGTGTGAATGTACAGAGCTGCCAGGAGAAGGGAACAGCTAAGGTAGAAGGGTCGACTCGGGAGTAAAGCCACAGGTGGACGGTGAATGGCTCCTCCCAGAGGGAATAAAAGAGGAGCGAAAGAGGAGTGGGGCTTTGCAGGAGACAATTCATTCAATTCATTCGGGTGAAGATCTATTCCTGACTTCTTGCAAAGTCATTGCTGCTACAGCATGGCATTTGGAAGATATCGGCCTGGCAACTCTCCAAGCCTAATAATGGTCTGTGGCTGTGAAATCTCTTGAAAGGCTGTTTGCCCAGACTTTGCTGGACAGGAATTCACTTTAACCTAAATAAAAGGGGTTTTATCCGGATAAGGAGTCAGCTTCATGATCTTGGGAAGCCTGGGTCAGAACATGCAGCAGCCTGATAAGAAAAACAGGAATCATCTACAACATACAGTTTAAAGACAACATCAGCCTCTGCATTGGAGAAACAGGCAAAACGCATCCATGTACACCAATCAGAGGTCAGAAGAGATGATGAAAACTCTTTAATTGCCCAACATATGGACAGGCTTCCCTCGAGGTTCAACGGAGAAACTGTGACCGTCCTAGATGAAGCCAAGTTGAAACAATGCCCCCCCAGCAATTAACACCCAGATGAGTGGAGATCAACAAGATTAATGGGACTTCCGGTGGCACTTCCGTCAAGGACAGACGGAGACCACGATTGTGCGCGGCTTCGATCCGTGCTTACCCTGTTGGAGGATCCTGACAGGACTGAACCATCACACCCACCTCAGAGGGGTGGGGGAAGAGGGGGAGACTGCCAGCTGGGTCGAGGGGAGCTGCATCTCACCTCCCTGGCTTGGTATACTCCCCTGAAAGATAGGGAGAAGTGGCAGTTGTAATGGCTGCCCTGAAGACGGGAACCTATTGGGACTTAAGTGTGCATTGGAGAGGTGAAGTGGTGAGCGGCGTGTATCCAGACAAGAGAAGCTGAACCTTTTGTTTTAATAACACCGAAAAGCAGAAAGAAAGATTCCTCGCTTGAGAGTACAACAGCAGCAAATAGAAAACAAGAGGACAATATAAGGTAAATAAAAATCTGGACTACAAAAGAGCTATAACAAAATGAAGGATGGAATTGGGAATAATATACAGAAACTGGCATTAATTAGGCATTGGATAAAATGCTGAACTTGCTTGGAATTGATTATAGTTAAAAAGAAAGTCAATGGTTGAAATGCTTGAAAATTAACATTAATATCATTGAAAAAAGGGGGAAAAAGAACTTTGAAAAGTGGAAGCGATATAGAGCACCACCTAATGGTACAAGGCATTTTTTCCTGGATGACTTTATGGAAAATTACTGGTCTGTTAAATGTGTGAATGAGAAAAGACGTGAAATAAAAGACTATAACATAACAAGAACCCTGGAAGCTTAAAAAAAGTGGGGGAGGAGATTGCAGCAAGAGGACAGAGGAAGGCAATATCTTGGCACTGTTGGGGGTTGACTGTGCAAAGGAAATAGAAGGACCAATAAGGAAAAGAGATATAAATGGAGTCTCTTGGCAAGGATTACAGTTAACTTTAATAAAATAAAGAATACCACAATTGATTAAAAAATGGAAGTAGCAAGCAAAGAATTTAAGATGGAACTGCAAACTGTGAAAGAAATGATAAAAGAAAGAAGGGGACTATTGGACACACTGGCAGAAAAAGTAATGCAATTTACAGCAGAACAAAGGAACCTTAGAGAGGAGGAGCCAAAGGAAGAGGAAAATAGCCAAGATGGACATGAAGATTCAGAGACATTGCCAAAAGACAAAAAACGAACTAAAACTAAGACATTGATGACAGAGATAATAAATAAAAGAGAAAAAGCTCTCAAGAGTAAACAAAAGAAGAAGCTGTACAAGAAGAAATTTCAAAAAAGAGAAAAGGAAAGGGGGGAGAAAAGTTGGGGACTGGCAGATGGAAATAAATGTAATATTAGAGGAAAAAAGAGGGAAAGGAAAACTTAGTAAAGGGAAAGCTGGCTAAAATTAAGAAAATTGACAAGGCCAAGAGATTTAGAGATAAGGGTTAGATATAGCATAAAAGGGGGACACCACATGGGAATGTGTCTTTGTATTTTTTATTAGAAATTTGAAATTTACAACTTACTGGGAATTACCTTAAGATTATTAGATAATTATAGATGAGAAAAATGAAGATGGAGTGAGTTAAGATTTTATTAAGAGGGTTCTCTTGTTATTAATCCTTTCTTTTATATATATACAGGTGAAACTCAAAAAATTAGAATATTGTGCAGGGTGAGCGAGTTTCGGGCATCAGGTGGGTGGGGCAAGCAAGCAAGTGGCAACCAGGCAATCAGGTTGGGGCATGGTCAGCCAGAAGTTACTACTGGTTCAGTGACCCATGCCAAATCATTGCTACCGGTTCATTCAAACCAGTTGCGAACCGGCTAAATCCCACCATTGGTAAGGAGGGGGAATTACCCCCACCCCGCATAGCAAGTTATCCCCACCTCAAAGTGCCTCTAATACCCTTCGCCTTTCCAGGGGCTTCTTCTGCTTTCCCTGACCACTTTGATCTGCTTTCCCTTGTGATGATGTTACCCCTTTGGGTGATGAAAAAATTAGAGAATTAGTAGCGGGCCTTACACCAGGAGGCATCACTGTGGCAGAAATAGCTACCTTTTTCTCTCCTCCTCCTCTTCCTCCCTCTGTAAATCCACCTCCCTTCTAGCACTGATGCTCCTACTTGGGTCATGAAACATCTGCAAGAAAAGAACCATGCTCAGACAGCACCAAGGACCCCACAGCCTTCCTCCTCTGCCATCCCCTCCTCCTCCTCCTCCTCTCTCTAATCCCCACTCCCTCCCAGCAGTGATGATGCTGCCCAACTGGTTGTCCCTTCCAACCCCTTCCATCATGGAAAACTTTTGATGCAAACATGCAAACATCTTTTGTAACCCAGGATGCTGTTGTATAAAACGGGATCCAAGAAGGAACATCCGCTCCAGGGCTCACCTGTCCAAACCCAACAGGTTTCCTTCAATGCAGATACCAGGTGTTCCCTCACCTGTTGGCCCTGCCTGACATGGAGAAGGCAAATGGTCTGCTGTGTTGAGGAAGCGTTCTCAGTCTGCCAATCCCCGATTCTCCGGCTTCCTCACAGCAGGACGTAAAGGTCCACCCGTCCAGCCCAGACTGGCATTCCTGCTGTTTGGGCACCATGAAGGCTGCACATGGCCTCCTCCTCCTCCTCCTTCTGGGTCTCCTCACCCTCCAGGCTGAGCTGCCCCCTTCGATGGGACAAAGAGGTAAGTGGGCACCGCCAGCCCCATACAGCAAATAATCCCAGCCCCAAAGCATTTCCTTAGTCTTTCTGAGGGCTTCATCCAGCTGATCCTGCCAGGGGTTTCATCTGCTTTTCCTGGCACTTCTGCTAAATGCCCCATTGAGGAAGAGATGGCAGGAAGATCAGCGAATTCAAGGGAATGAATGAAGGGCAGGGAGGGCAGGATGGGGAGGGGATTCTACTTCGTTCTCCTCTAGGCGCCTCAAGTCCCCTTTCAGGGCAGACTAGAAAGATCTATTGACAAAGGCTGCACTACAATTACTATTAACCTTCTCATCACTCATCACCCATCCCCTCCCACTTGTGACTGTATGACACTAACTTTCTCGCTTGTATCCTTACGATCTATATTGACTGTTTCCTAGTAGGATTTGATTTCTTATTGTACCCTGTAAGGTCACAGAAGTTTCCCCGTGCCATGGAGATACCAAAGAATGAGATTCGAGATGAGGCTTGCAAAAATAACAGCTTTTTATTCTTTGGCCAAAGCAAAAAGTCTGTGTGAATACTATGTCCAAAACATACAGACAAAATGCATGTAAGGAATAGCCACACCCTGCGAAAGTGGCTCAGAGTATTATATACATTTTATGCTGATAGAAACAAAGTTTATCCAATTGGAAACAAGGGTTCATTATTAATTGTGGGCAATGTCTAGCCTATGCCCTCCCCTTCCTTATCCATGGAGCGTTCTTTGTCCGTGCTCTCTCCATACTTTGTTATTTTACACAGTATCCCTTGTCCTTGTGTGTTTGTGCTCCTAGACAGCCACCACTTATCTATGGAGCAGGATGTTCCTGGGAATTGTCACCAAGGGTGTGTCTAGCTCTGAAGCAAATTGCAGAGGCGAGAAACCAGATAGAAAAGGATACAATTCTCTTAACAAGAGATTTCCATCCTTAGCAAAATAGTACAAGCAACTTCTTTAACAGATGCAAAGAGCAAAGGTTAGATTGATTCATGTCAAAATGTCCCCAACTATAACTTTGTCGCTTGTGTCCTTATGATCTATATTGACTATTTCCTATGATGATTTGATTGCTTATTGTACCCTATGAGTATTATTAAATATTGTACCTGATGATTCTTGACTCTTGATGAATGTATCTTTTATGTATACTGAGAGTATTTGCACCAAGACAAATTCCTTGTGTGTCCAATTACACTTGGCCAATAAAGTATTCTATTCTATTCTATTCTATTCTATTATTATTCTATTCTATTATTATTGTACCCTATGACTATCATTAAGTGTTGGACCTTATGATTCTTGACTCTTGGCGAATGTATCTTTTCTTTTATGGACACTGAGAGCATTTGCACCAAAGACAAATTCCTTGTGTGTCCAATCACACTTGGCCAATAAAGAATTCTATTCTATTCTATTCTATTCTATTCTATTCTATTCTATTCTATTCTATTCTATTCTATTCTATTCTATTCTATTCTATTCTGTTCTGTTCTGTTCTGTTCTGTTCTGTTCTGTTCTATTCTATTCTATTCTGGTGACGTGGAAGCCCAGGAAATCTTTAGTGCCGGCTTCCACCAGTTCATGCCAAGATGTGTAGTAAGAATAAAATCATTATTTGAGGAATTGGAATGCCTCTGAGTTCATTTTGTGATGACTGCATTACTTCATCAATGCAGGATAACTCAGAGGAGGGACCAGTGAATTGCAGTGGGCCTTGCCTTGCTTTGGGTTTGAACCTTTTTATTTATTTATTTTTTATTTATTTGATTTGCCAATTGTTTACAAGATAATAAGTATAAGTGTATACATAGTTGTGAATACATGAAATGGGTACATATAAGAAAAATAAAAGAAGAATAAGAGAAACTATAGGACAGGGACGGTAGGCACGTTGGTGCGCTTATGCACGCCCCCTACAGACCTCTTAGGAAAGGGGTGAGGTCAATAGTAGACAGTCTAAGGTTAAAGTTTTTGGGGTTTGGGGAAGAAACTACAGAGTCGGGTAGAGTATTCCAGACATTGACCACTCTATTGCTGAAGTCGTATTTCCTGCAATCAAGTTTGGTGCGGTTAACTTTGAGTTTGTATCTATTGTGTGCTCTTGTGTTGTTATGGTTGAAGCTGAAGTATTCATTGACAGGTAGGACATTGCAATGTATGATTTTATATACCATGCTTAAATCAGACCGAAGACGGCGTAATTCAAGGTTTTCTAGTTCTAGAATTTCAAGTCTGGTGGCATAAGGTATTCTACAACGAGTAGAGGAGTGGAGAACTCTTCTTGTGAAATATTTCTGGACTTTCTCAATTGTGCTAATATCAGATACGTAATGTGGGTTCCAGACTGATGAACTGTATTCGAGTATTGGTCTAGCAAATGTTTTGTATGCTCTGGTTAGTAGTGTGATATTACCAGAGAAAAAGCTACGTAGGATTAGGTTAACAACTCTTAATGCCTTTTTGGCTATGTAGTTGCAGTGTGCTCTAGCACTTAGATCATTAGAGGTGAGTATTCCAAGGTCCTTTACAGAGCTTGGGTCATCAACAAGATCTTGACTATTCAGCTTGTATTTTATTTTCTGATTTTTTTTGCCAATATGTAAGACAGAGCATTTATCTGTTGAGATTTGAAGTTGCCATTTGTTTGACCATTCTGATACATAGTCAAGATCTTTTTGTAGGGTAGCAGTATTGTCTGTGGTATTGAACAGCTTTACATCATCAGCGAAAAGAATGCAATTGCTCTTAATATGATCACAGAGGTCATTTATGTAGAGTATGAAGAGAGTTGGTCCTAGAACACTGCCTTGGGGGACACCACTATTGACAGGTACAGAATTTGATAGGACGCTCCCAATTTTGACCATTTGTTGTCTGTTTGCCAGGAATGCTTCTATCCAGTTATTCAGTTGTCCAGAGATACCATAGGATTTTATTTTTAGGAGTAGTTTGTCGTGTACCACTGAATCAAAGGCTTTACAGAAGTCTATGTAGATTGCGTCTATTGCTTTGCCCTGGTCGAGTTGTGTCGTCCATATGTTTTTGCAGTGTAAGAGTTGCAGATTACAGGATAGTTTTTTTTCTGAAACCAAATTGTTTATTGGAGAGTAGGTTATTTGTCTCTAAGTGAAGGATGATGGATTGGTTAATAATTGATTCCATGACTTTACAGGTGACGCAGCATAAGGAGATTGGCCTGTAATTTTCAACTAGGCTTGGGTCTCCCTTTTTGAAGATGGGGATGACTGTGGCTTGTGACCATAGGTTAGGCAAGGAGCTGGTTCTGAAAGATTTTTCAAAGATTATGCTTAGAGGTTTGGCTATGGCAGTGGATAGCTTTCTTAAGAAGTAGGCACATATTCCATCCGGTCCAATAGATAGAGATGGTTTTAGATTGCGTAGTGATTTTTCGACATTGTCTTCTGTGAAATCGATATGTATTAGATCATTGTTGTTATCTGTGGTACGGCTAGGAAATACTGGGCATGATCCATTGCTGTTTACAAATACTGAGCCGAAGAATGTGTTAAAGATGTTGGCTTTAATGGTGTCGTCGTTGCAGTCTTTACCATCAGGTCCTATCAAGGGTGGGACAGACCTTGAGTCTTTTAGTTTGTTGTTTACAAAATTGTAAAAAGCACGGGTGGAATTGGTGCTTAGAAGGTTTTCCTCTTGTTTAATGTGATAATTGATGCATTCGGTCTTTATCTGGTGGCATAAATTTTTGTATCGGCTTTTGAAATTGGCAACGTGACCAGATTTGTTTTTCCGCCAGAGTGATCTCTTTTTGGATTGAAGTTTCCTTATTGTTATGGGTAATCTGCTTTTTTGTTTTGTTTTGGGAATTGTTGTTGGTACATATAGTTTGATGACTCTTTTGACTTCAAGTAAAAATATGTTGTAATGGTCTTCAACAGTATTGCATCCAGTGAATAGAGATTGCCAATCAAGGGATGAGAGATCGTTGTCTATAAGATCATAGTTGCCTTTTTTGAAGTTACAATTGGGGATTACATCATTGTGGTGATTTTTGTGTGGGCGTATGTTGAGACAAAAGTCAATCATATTGTGGTCACTGCTGGAAAAGGGTTCTTTAGTTTGTATTCCGTAAATTAAATTCAAACTATTGCAGAAGATGAGATCGAGGCAGTTGTTTAGTCTAGTGTTGTTGGTTACTAGTTGTTCCAGTCCCAGATTTGTAATAGCATTGTAGAAGGTTGTGTGTATGATTTCAGTTGTACAATCATTTAGGGTCCAGTCAATATGAGGTAGATTGAAATCGCCAAGAAAGATAAAAGGGTATGGGCAGGATGCAGCCCATGTTAGTAATGTATTTAGCTTGTTTACATGTTCGATGTCATAATCAGGTGCTCTGTAACATAGTAAGAATCGAATTGTGATATTTAAGGATAGTTCACAGATGATGGTCTCAGGAAGAGCAAGCTCCTGGGTAACTTGGATATTTTTTAGATGTAAGGACTTTTTATAGAAGATAGCAACACCACCTCCTCTACGAATTTCACGATCTGATCGGTAAACATGATAGTCTCTTACTGTGGTAATGGAGTCAGGGAGAGATGCATTGAGCCATGTTTCACAGACAAATATAATGTCGAATTTAGCCATATTTAGTAGGAGGAAAAATTCAGGTATTTTATTCACGAGGCTTCTTGCATTGAGTAGTTTGCATTTAAGGCCAGCAGTAGTTGGAATTGAGGTAGTTAGGGGCGTGCATGCCTAGTCTTGGGTGACCTTCTCAGATGAGAAGTACTCAAGGCTGGGCTTGTGTGGTGTCCCAGCAGCCCAGCGGCTGATCAGCATTGGATGGTCCCTCAGAAAGTTCTCCAGTGGCAAGCTGGCAGGAGTGAGTTAACCATGGCAAGTTGTCCTAGACCTAGACCTTGGCAGCTGCAAGATAGGTAGGTAGATTAGATAGATAGATAGATAGATAGATAGATAGATAGATAGATAGATAGATAGATAGATAGATA